GAAGAAAATCCTAACAAAATTCAAAAAGTCGAACCAGTACAGACTGTTTTCAAGTCACAATACAAAAAAACGAAAACAAAAAACACAAACAAACAAAAAACAGAAACAAAAAAACAAAAAACAACCCAACAAAAACAAAACCCCCTAGATATTAGCAACAAAATTAGAAAGAAAATAACCTACCAGCTTGGCGGGGGAGAAAGGCGTAGGAAGAGAGATCAAAGAAAAAATTTAAACCCAAAATTTCTCCATTTCTTGAATAATAAAATAAATACATATCGAACCCTATGTTCTATGGCCAAAGCTGGGTTGTTAAGAAGAAAATACATCGGTTTAAACAAATCCATTCGTAAAGCAGGCACGAGAAACAGAAGATGCGACGTTCGATCGGAGAAGTTACGGGAAGAGCGACCGACTACCCTAAGAAGTCAGAAGGGAGAAAATAATAAAGGAATCAGCGAGTTAGAACGCAAAACAAATAAAGTCGAACGGCTGATCCAAGAACTCTTTGGGATGGAGCCAGCGAGAGCAAAGCAGTTAAACTACGGAGTGAGCTAATAAGAAAAAGGGGCAAGTCCCCCAAACAGTGTTGGAAATAAGGCAGGGGGACCAGCAGACAGGAAACCAGAAGACTTAGCACCTAGCAAAACTTCGTGCAATGAAATTTGAAACTGAAAGCAATGGGGTGATTTTCAGGGAGTATTTGATAATGTGCTCCACCCGGCCGATGCTGTCCTTTTGGCTCGAATAAACTCTCTCTTTTTTTTAAGATGGTTTTCTAGAAAAAACATAAATAACTATGCCCAAGGAAATACAACGTTGGAAATCCTAAAACAGTAAGCAGGAACAAAGCTGAGGACATTATCAGACCCAGAAGGCTTCTGGGAGGAACGCTTAGAAACGGCCAAGAAGCAAGCAGCTCTGCTTTTATGTAAATTCTGTCTATGCTCGAGAAAGGGGGCTCGTGTTTTCTGTGACGGCCACATTGAAACCCGAAAATCATGTCACAGAAGCCACAGACGCACTCACTTATAAACGTCGTATCTTAAATAAGGCATTACTAAAGAAAACCCAACAGATTTCGGAAAATGTTCAGCGTTCGAAAATCATTAATAAACACTGTTCACCCTATATCTTGGTTAACAAGAAGTAACATGAAATAACCCCCAAATTTTCATGTTATCAGTATAAAATCGAGAAAATGCCCTCCGACAACTTTCTAAATCTCAACTCTTATCTCTGGTTAACCCCTGCCCTTTTTTTTGGAAAAAGTATCTCCAGATTTTGAAATATGCACTCGATTTTCCTTGATAAATCTTGCTAGTTTTATTCTATTGATCTTGTCAAAATCCAGATCAAGAATTTATTTAACGTCTGCTTCTTTCTCCTGTTTAATTCAGCAGTGCCTGCTTTTATCACGATTGATTCCATCTACCCGCTATTTTAGTTCATTTAGCTCTTTTTCGAACCTCTTTTTAAAATCAGAAACTTATTTATTTTCATTCTTTCCTAATAAAAGCATTTAAAATTATGACTTTGCCTCTGATTACTGGGGTGCGTACATCGCATCGGTTTTGAATGGTAGCGTTCTTTTTGTGTTATTCTGTATATAAACAGAAACTGTGGTTTTAATTTCCTCTTTTCTCCAGAGTAATTTATATGGGTGATTTAAAAACTCTAAGTCTTTTGATTTTTTTCACGAGCTTGATGTTATTTTACAGTTTGTTTTTATCAGATGATTCGACTTGTACAATTTCTGCCTTTGGAATTAAGTTTTCATTTGGCCCGATATATTAATTTTTATGTGTTCTCTGCATATTGGAGAAACACAGGTATTTTTGATATGTATTTATTATCTAACATGTATTAATTTCATCATTCAAATCCTGGTTTTCTTAAATTTTGTTCTGTCAGAATGAGAATAGTTTATCTCTTGCTCAATTTTGGTTTTGTCCATATTTCTTATAATTGTATAGAGATAATTACTTTTAATCCCCACGTTCTTTGCCTGAGCCTTGTTTTAAATTTGAGGCGATACATTTAATGGCACTTAATGAAAAAAAGCAGCTCTGAGTTAAAAGGCTGCTGACTCCAGCTCTTGTGAGAATGCAAAATACTGGTTTTACTCTGATAGGTCCCTTCCTTCCTTCCTTCCTTCCTTCCTTCCTTCCTTCCTTCCTTCCTTTCTTCCTCCCTCCCTCTCTCCCTCCCTCCCTCCTTCCCTCCCTCCCTTCCTTCCTTCCTCTCTGACAGTGCTTTGCTTTTTACCTCATAGGTGTTCGGATGGGTTCCTATCTTTTAGGGGGTTGTACCTTCTACTGTAAAATAACGCTCTGTCCAAAACGGCTGTGGTTACATGTCCTCCTTCCTCTAAAATTAACGTTACCATTTGGTGTCCTTTGTTTTCGTGTTTCTGTTGTAGTTTAGATCAATCCTGCCTTTCCCCCCTTCATGCTTTTGATGGGGTACGTCTCTTGGAGACACGCTACAGCTAGATTTTCAAAGTTTGGTCTAAAGGGCTTCGTGTTTTATCGGGGTCGGGTACGTCCTGCGACCTCTGTCTCGTCGGGTCTTGCCATCCTCGTCCCGCTTCATTCTCTCTGCGGTTAACGCCCGTGTTTGTTTTCCCTCCGGTCGTCTGCACCACGGACCCTGCCGTCGGTGGCGTCGTTCTGAGTTTTACGGATGAGCCATTTCGGGCTTGCTCACAGGCGCACGTCCGCTGCCCCCACGGTCCGGTTTCCCTCCTCCTGCCCTGGCAAAGGCTGGGGTCTCGGGGAAGGGGGGACGCGACCCCGGTTCAGGAAATGCTTCAGAGCCAGGGGCGCTCCGAGGGAGCGCGGGGGTCCTCCGGGCTCGCTCCTTTCCTAGGATTCTTTTCCCGGGCTGATCTGTCCGCTCGGTCAATGCGGGCGGGCTGAGGGTCGCGTCCACTAGCCCGTCCTGCAGGCCCCGGGGTACGGTCGACCCTTGGGGCTGCAGAAGTCCAGACCGGGGTGTCCTTTGACCCAAAGCTGGGTCGCTCTAAGATGAAAAAGAGCAAATCGGGGATCCCCAAGACTTGGCCTGTTTCCTTCCCTTTTCCTGAGGAAGATTCTGGTATTCGTTCCTCTCTCTGCCTGTTGGACCCTAATTACCACTTAATCAACATCTGTATTTCGAAGGGAAAGAACAGTGGATGCAGAAAAGGACTCACGGGAGCAGCTGGCGGCCGGCACGCCGCGGCCAGCGGGTCGGACGCCAAACGGGACCGTGGTCTGGAGGCTTCCCACGCAGCAGCAGTTTGCGGCAGGTCACCTGGGCGCAAGCAGCGCCAGAGGCCAGCCCTGGAGGTCGGCCTTGGTCATCGGCCTTGGCCACCGCTGGGCACATGCTGCGTCAGGTTACGGAGAGGCCGCCCTGCAATCTGCACATCTCCTCTCCACAGGGTTACTCCTGACATACGCGTTAAATATTATAAGCACGTGATAACAGCTGCTGAGACGCTGTATAATCTGTATCGCAGTTAATTCTGTTTAATTGGTGCTTCTGTTCATCTTCCCACGCCTGTCAAGGCCCCCCATTCTTAAGTTCCTTTTTCCGAATTAGCTTTAATTATAGTGGTAATGCACAAGTACGTTCCTCTCATTAAATCTGAGTTAGCCCGAGTTTCCCCACGCCCTCCGCCAAGGCACAGAAGTCACCATTCTAGCGTGTTTGTCTGTCATCTATCATCCATCATCAATCTACCTATCATCTATCACTTATCTATGGATCTATCTATCAACTGTCTATTATCTAGCTACCTATCTATCTATCATCTATCTATTATCTATCATCTATCATCTATCAATCATCTGTCTAATCTATCATCTGTCTGTCTGTCTATTTATCCATCTAATCAATTTAAAATGTGGTATTTAAAAAAAACGAAATCCCATTGTACAACTTGCTTCTGCCCGCTCCGCACCCGGCAGTGTGTCGTAGACACCTAACCGCACACAGCTCACCCCTGAATGGCACAGGGGTTAGAGGCACCGACCCCTCTGCAATGAAAAATCCATGTATAACTTCTGACTCCCCAAAAACGTAACGACTAATAGACTGCTATTAACGGAAGCCTGACCAACGACAAAAACAGTCCACACACATTTGCATGTTCTATCTGTTCTAGACTGCGTTCTGGCAATCACGTGAGCTAAAGGAAACGTTATTAAAACGATCGTAAGGAACAGAAGCACATTCACGGTAGTAACTGGAAAAACTCCTAAATCAGCGGCCCGCACAGCTCAAAGCCGCGTTGCTCCAGGGTCAGCCGGACCTACTCACTCTGTGGCACAGAATCCCTTAGAATACAGGTGTCACAGCTCTTGGCCGTGAGCCTGCGAGGCCGTCATGGGGGCGGGCATTGTGAGCCACTGCGGCGGGGCCGTCCGGCCTCCGGGCACTCAGCACAGTGTCTTTGGGGAGGGGACCGAGCCGTGGGTCACTCAGACGGCTCACGGCGGTTGTTGCGTTGTGTGTTCCTAGAGCGATGCTCCCGACACGCCAGCCACTAGCCACATGTGGCCACAGAGCACACGAAATGCAGCCTACGCCAGTGGAGAACAGTTTACAGCTTTCCTGCACTTTTACCATTCCAAAACTTTATCAGCCTGAGAGACTTTTTTCCATCCATACGTCGGTAGGACAAACAAATAATTGCGCTCTAATCAATTGCGTTGCATAAAATATTGTCGTTATGTTGGAGGGCGCGTGCTGGGCGCATGTAACATAGGCCCTGTCACTGGTCGGCCTTTGGCGCACGGTTCTAGGGTCACATGTGAGCCCGTCCCCAATCTAACTGGTTTCCACCGATTCTGCTCGATTTTTCTGGGTGCTGACCTAACACTAATGTGCTTCCTGGAATATTTTATGCAGACAGTATGAGCTGCATGACGCTTTTGTAAATCGCCACTGGTAATTAACTCAAAATACATACGATTTTAGTTATAATCTAATTCAGTTATTTTTCTACGTAGGAACACACTTTTAAATTTACAATGGCGACGTACAACAGAGATGCGGAATAATAAATAAAGAGAGACTGGAAGATGGTACTTGACAAATTTCACGACAAATGGCCATCGCGATCGGCTGCGGCAAAGAACGAAAACGCTGTGTTTGCTGTGAAACAAACGTGAAAAAATAATAACGTGGAAAATACTGAGCCATCTTCGGCAGGTGCACAGCGAATTCAGTAAGCAGTTTTTTTTCTCAACATTCAAGAAAGAATTGGTGTAGCACATGAAGAGACACCCAATACCACTTGTCGTCGGGGAGACGCAAATCGAAACACAGAGAGATGACGCTTCTCGTCTGTGAGGACGTCTATTACCGAAAACAAAAAGCAAAGAAAAAAACAAACAGATAATGAGTGTTGGTGAGGACGGACTGAAACCTCGTGCACCGCTGGGCTGGGCGGGGGCTGGCGGGGAGGGCAAACGGTACGTCCGCCGAAGGCAAGTCCTCGAAAAATTACACGCAGACGTGTCACACGATCCGACAATTCCGCATCTCAGCGTACGGCGGGGAAGCGATGACGAGGTCTGAGTAACGGTCGGTACGCCCTCGGTCACGGTCACGGTCACGGTCACGGCATCTCAGTGCACGCGGTCACGGTGGCCGCCTTCACGACAGCTCCAAACGGGACACGACGTGAGTGTCCAGGGCAGGGGGATGGGTAGGCGGACGTGGTCTGCGCTTGCAGTTCCATGGACACGAGGCTCCTTGATGGCGTCAATTCTAAGGGACGCACGGTAGAAGAGTGGGGTGCCCGAGGCCGATGACAGGAGGGAGGGGGGCGAGCGTTCAACGGGGACCGAGTGTTCGTTTCCGAAGATAAAAAAGCCCCGGAGCTGACAGCGGAGACGGCTGACGACAACGTGGAACCACTCACTGCCACCGAGCCGTGCGCTTAAAAACGGTTAAAATGCTACGTTATGTTATGTGTATTTTACAATAAAAAAGAAAATCTGATGAAATTAGTTGCCTGAAATTGAAATAAAATGCGGAACGAAAAAATTTTCAATAGGTTTGAACCAGATCAGAGATGGTGATTTTGGCTGCAAAATGAGGTGGATTCTTGCACATGTGCAATTTTTAATGGACAGATGGTGAAAGACATTATTATTTCAGTTGTAAAAAAAATGCAGACGATTACGAAAGAGTAAAAAGGTATTTTATAAAAAGTAAAGAATCTTCAATTAAGCTACAGAAAAGAACTCATCAAAAATAATTATTTCAAATTTTTAAAAATAGCAAATTTTATCTGAATCATGGCCATGAGACTCTGCCCAGTGAATACTTTGGGTACATTTAGCCTTAAAAGTCTTCCAAAATTATGAAGAAACATTGGCTTCAGAAAAACAAACTGTGCCGTAGATTTTTTTTTTTTTTGAATCATTTACATCTGACAAGAATTTTGGTGAGATATATTAAAAAATTAGTTTCACTCATGCCAGATGGTGTTCAGTCAACAATCTGGATTAATCGAAATTTCAAAACAAGAGACCGAGGGTTTCCTCATGGCCTCGTCCCTCCGCATGATACGTACTGAAAATATCTGCTCGTTTGCAGAAGCAGACGGAAGCGGCAGGGTCGCAGCCGTCAAAACTGCTCGGCGGACACGCTCGAGCGCTGCGAGTCGCCAGTGTATGGAATGTCACAGGGAGCGCTGCGTGTGACGATCTGCGTCTTCCTCCGTGTCCCTCCGTTGAGCCCGTTTTACTGAGATTCGTGCCACTGGCAATTCTGACTCGAGATGTTCTCGAAATGAAAGGAAAACTTACCAAATGTTTAATAAGCAACGATAAAATATGGCGGCGGCATTATTTCTGCTTTCCTCAGGGACGTCACGGCACATGTGAATGAGACAAGTCTGAAGCTTCCCTGTCCCCTCGCGAAAAAGGCACACGAATTTCCGCCGAAATGGAAACTTCTCAAAATATAATTGAATAGCAATGCTTTTCTACGTTTTCTCATATGAATCGATGTGCAGAATAGTTTTAATCGTGATGCCAGCGTTATGTAAATTATCTGCAAAAGTCATAAGAAAAATTCGAAGACTGTTTTGTTGCTATCGATAAACTCAGAGTTACTTTTCAGTTCATCCAATACCCTTTTCCATCCCGTGTTCATCACACTGAGTGGACTCAGGCGTCTGTGAACTGTCAAAACGTGGACAGACGCGGTTTTGAAACTGACATGCTTTTGCTTCAAACGCTTCTAAAAAAGATGGATTTGTTCGGTCAGCGTGGAAGTGATTAAAGGAAGATGATTTTCTGGTACCCGAACTGGTAATTGGAAACCTTTTAAGTCTGCTTGGAACAGCTTGGCTATGTGATTCTGCTTTCTCAAGTGTAAATATAAATACGCTCAAATATTTCCGGTGAAAATTCACCGTCCAGATTGAGGCGTGCTGTGAGCATAGAACACGCCAGGCAGCTCAAAGACTCCACCACGACAAAACGGACGTACCCCATTCATAACGGTTTTTGTATCACGTGTACATGGGCATCGTGACGTTTTAGAAACATCAGGTTAAATAAGACGTGATATTAAATTTCACCCGTTTCCACCTTTTACAATGTGGCGACGTGAAGGTTTTAGATCGCGGCTGAGGCTCACGCTATTATTCTACTGGACGGCTCTGCTCTGGGGTCTGAGTGGAGCAGAGGCAGGAGGGTCGTTCCTGGGACAAACTCAACGCGGCGTCAGCGGCAGCGTGCGGACCAGACTCTCTCGTCCCCCAAACTGTGCTGCAGTGACAAGCAGGGGGATGGGAAGGGGACGCGCAGGGGCACAGGAAGGGGATGGAGCGTGGGGTGCAGCCTGAGCCCTAATGGAACCAATGGTGGGTGGGGTGGGAGCGGAGGGGGGCCCCGGGAAGACCGAGCCAGGATGCAGGCGGGGCCTCCACGTGTCCCCATCGTCCGTCCAGAGCTACAGGGTAAACGCCGGGGTTCGCCTGAGAAAACGACTCTCGGGAGCCATCAGCGTGTTGGCACCAGAGGGGGTTCCTGCAGCAGAAGCAGGGCAGGCACGGCCGCCCCCTCCTTCCTCCTGCGTGGGGCGGGGCCGACACGGGCTCAGCTTCCTGCCCCCTCCTTCCACTTCCTCTACAGACCACGTCCCGTGGTCGCCATCAAAGGGATGGGTTCTGTCCTTCATCCAGAGAGATGTAAAGGCGTCCCGTCCCCGGCTGCCACCGCAGGCTGGATTATAGGCTCAGGTCAGAACGGGCGCCCGCAACCAAATTGTCCTCTTAGGCCCAGCTCTAAGGGCACCTCCCCTCTCCCCGGGCGGGGTCCCGACGCGGTGCGATGCTCGGGCAAGGACTCGTTCCTCCCACAGGCTGGACTGGTCCCGGATGCCCCACTCAGTGGCCGTGGCCCTGTTGTCCGCCCGCCCACCGAGGCCCACCCCTGCCTGGCTGACCCGGGTCCCAGATGTGGCCACGGCCAGCTCCCCACGCCCATGCTTGGCCTTTTGGAGTCTGACTGCCCACATGAACTGCCAGTCCCTTTGGACCCTCCGTCCCGTCTACGGATCCGAGCGTCACGTGGTCTTGGCCTCGGTGCCGCCTGCACTGTGGTCACTCCCCCGGCTGTCTGGTCCTCTCGGGAGCCGGCAGACCGCGCCCACCGCCAGCCACCCATTCTCGGCTCCTCTGCGGCGATCGTCCGGTTATTCGGTCTCCTCTGCCCGCAAGCGTTTTTCCCCGAGGGACCCAGTGGAACCGAGAGGTCAGTGTGCTTCTTTCCGGCTTTTATGTCGACTGACACCATTTCAGTTCGGTGGTCGTCTCCCGCATGCCCCGCCCCCAGCTCTCTCTTCCGCCCTCTGCCCGAGACCAGCTTCCCCGGACGCCTCCCCCCGGAGTCCCGTGAGTGCACGGGTGTCTGCTCATTTGATTCACCTGACGCGGCCCAAGCGCCCACGACAGGGCCTGGCACACAGTAGGAGCTCAATACATGATCACCGAACACATCCAGAAGAAGCCGTGGCTCGGAGCCCTCGGAGGGGCTGATGCATGATGGCTGTGACGAGCGCCACGCCACGTAACGCGCACCGGTGACATGGATGGCAGCGTGGAGAGTCTGCCCCCTCCATACAGGAGCCTGGACACCCCGTGACACATCGGCAGCGGGCGGACACGGAAGCGGGAGCTTCGAGCGTGGTCTACATTTTCCGCAACCCCTGCTGGCCCCCCTGACCAGCCGCTCGCCTGGGTGCCCTGCCAGCCCTTCCTCCTAGCCCCCGACGGGAGCCCCGACCAGTCTTCCCGATCTCGCTCCTGCCTGACCCCCGCTCGCCCACTACGAGCGGCCGCTGACTTTCCCGACATGTGAACTGCGCTGGGGACAGCACGGGTGTCAGGACGGCCGAAGGTGACTGGACACCGAGCTGTTTAAAGGGGAATGACACAGCCGGACGCGAGGACAGGTGCCGCGGGCTGCGGGTCTCGTTGTGGGATCGTCAGGGCTCAGTTCCAGCCTGTCCCCTCTCTCCTGCCCAGCGTCGACGTCATCCCTAAGTCGTTAACTGTGAGAACCGCGAGCTGGCGCTGCCCCTGCTTCCTCCGCGGAGAGGCCGGGCGGCTCTGGGCCCAACGCGCGGCGCCCGCCCCTCGTGGGTGACGCTACCTGTTCCATTCCCTGGGTGGCGGCACGTCACGTACGCCGGGACAGCGGGCTCCCGAGCCGGGCTCTGCCACCGGCTGCATGGCTTCTGCAGGTCACATGGCCTCCCTGGGCCTCCGCGGTCGCACCTGGGAAACGGAGGGGTCGCATCGCATTAGTGACTCTCCACGGTCCACTCTCCCCGCCTCCCGAGCAGGTGTCGACCTGCGAGACACACACCTGCACGCGGCGCCCGGGAGCGAGGAAGCTTCGTCCCTTTCTCGTCCGCTCCGGAAAGCGAGGGCGTGACAGAGACCCCGGGGGCGGCCTCGCCACTGTCCTGACCCGGGGGCCGGCGATCCGCAGGCCGGGGGTCAGGCCCAATGCGCGCCCGGGACTGCGGCGCCCACGTACGGACTAGAAAGCGGGAGGAGACGGCGTGAGGCAGGGAAGCCCAGTTAGACAGCGAGGAGGTCGCCGTCACCTCGGCCACTTCCATCCTCACCGTGCACGTGTGCAGCGTGACCGGCTCTCTCGCAGAGCCCCTGGCTGTCCCCGGCCCTGGGCGAAGAAATGGCATCACGGCGTCGGCCACCCGGTGCCTCCCTCCGCCCCACGGGCCGCGCCACCGGAGGCGTGTGGCACCGATCAGTGCTGTCTGCTTTTGTTCTATGTACACAGAGCCACGAAGAAGACTCGCTCCCGCGTCTCGCTTCTGCTCGACGTGCCGTTCGCCGGGGCGCCGCCGAGGAGGGAGCCCCAGCTCGCGTGTTTTCATTTCCGTCTGAATTCTCTTCGAGCGCAGTCCCGGCCTCCCCTCGTGGGACCCCACTTCCCACGGTGACCGCGGCTCCCTCCGCCCCGCCCGGCCCCGGTCCTCGCTCTGACCACCGTCTGGCCCCCGACACACCCTGCGCGTCTGCTCTGCCATTTGCCCCGTGCCCGGAGTGCAAGTTCCACGGAGCCGGCCGAGTGCCCAGTTCCTCTGGAGCAAACGGACCCCAGCTACTCGCGCCTGGTGCCCAGCACACCCACAGCTGGAGGGAGCACCGAGGTGCCCAGGCAGGACGGACGGCTCAGAAACTGCCACCAAGTGTCATTTAGCAGCAGAGGCCAACCCGTGGTGGGGCTCACTGTGACATCTGTGCCACCATCGCGAACAACGGTGTGAAAATCCTCCGTGAAATGCTTGCAGGTGAATCTTAGAAGTTTATTAAAATCGAAAACGAAAGAAGTCCGAAAGCGTCTATCGACAGGACACACCCCGAGGATGCTGGGAAATTGGGTGCGAATGTTCTCGCTTTACAGGCTTTTGCATCTTTTAAATTCTTAACGTTAACGGCCATTGGTCCGGTGATTAAAAATGAAAGCATAACATGCCGCAAGTCAGCAGAATTTATCCCAGGGCCGTTAAAACCGCTTCGTATTCACGATTCGATATTAACAACATCACGAAGCCATGCGGCGCCCTACAGAAGTCACACACTTCATACAACAGTGTGAGCGCTTGGCTTAGAGTCAGCACTCGAACGAGTCTTCTCTCAGTGGGGAAGTGCGGTGACGAGCGTGGCCAGGTGTGAAAACGCGCGTAGGGGCCATGGCGACGGAGCGAGGCCCGTGGCACCCCCGCCCTCCCCCCACCCCCCTGGCTCGGCAGCGGACATTAGGGTCCTCATGACCGCCCGCGGCGTGGGGAAGCCTTGAAAGAATGTCATGGACGGCAGCGTGCCTCTGTGCTGGGTTATCGATCGAATCTCCGCACGCGTCACGGAGGGATGGAGCAGGCACGGGAAGTCCTTAGGGACCTTGAGTCTTCGGCGGAGACGGGCACAGGAAACAAACAGACAAATGCAGACGGACGTGACCTGTGACAGTGACCGAGGCCACGGCGGGGCGAGCGGGTGAAGGTGGTGAGCGTGAACGGGGTGCACCATCGACCACGTCTTTGAGGCAGTGTGTGAGCTGGGGGCGGGTCTGGGGGGGCCCGGCAGACCCACGGTGGCCCAGGCGCAGGGCGCGGAGGGTATGAAGTCCCCGGGCTGGACCCCGCCCGGCACCACGTGTGCCAGCAGCCACTGCGGGCAGTGGGGGAGAGGGACAGACAGGCCACGCGGCAGGGTCTGCAGCTCGTTTTTCAGGAGAAGGGACGTCACAGAAAGGTTCTGAGCCATGGTGCCACGTCCTCTGATTTGTGATTTTAAAAGCCCGGTCGGTGGTGGGCGGTGAGGACAGGCGTGAGCGGAAGCGGGCAGGCCGGCGGGGGCCCCGCGAAGAGTCCAGGCGGGAGATGACAGTGACGTGGGCGTAACAGAGGGGTTGGGGAGCTTGGCGTCCAAGGGAACACGGGTGGGCCTGGCCGGTGTCGGCGGTGACAGCGAGGGCCTCCGGCCACACGCCCCGCCGGCGGGGAAAGATGCTGGGCCCAGGGTGGGGAAGGGAAGGCCGTGTCAGGGGGAGACTGAGAATTCTGGTTGGGGCCTGTGAGACGGGGGTGCCCGTCAGATGCCCCAGCAGGGGCGATGAGCAGATGACCGCAGTGGACACTGGACCTGTGCTTCTACCAGCCTGCGGCGCTGTTCACAGACGTGAGGCCTTGTCACGGAGGAGGGGACCGAAGTGGGGTGAGGCCGCGGCCCGGCCGGAGCCTGGGGTGCTCTAGCATCTGGGCGCAGTGGGCTGGACCGAGGGGGCCGGGCGAGGACAAGCAGCTGGAAGGGGAGGAAAAGCCCAGGAAAGCT